AGGGCCAACAGTGAGCGAATGATCTGGAAGCAGATGAAGTTCAAACCCTCACACCCAAAAAAGGGTTCGTGTAGTGTAGGTAGTCTGGCCTGGTATGACAATAGAATATACATAACAATAGAATAGATTAGAATTAAATGATTGTTAAAACGGTCGTGTCCATAGGTACCGAGGAGCCCAGCAGCCGAAGATTGAGCCGAAGTAGAGAACCGATGATTGAGTCGTCGAAGTGGAGCCAAAGTAGGTGAAAAAATAATTTGAAGGCAATAACTATGTCAGGGCTAAATTGCAATTTTGGCTGTTTACTTTCACGATAATCTCGCCAATACATTAGCTTGTCTTATCATTAAACAAACGTTGTTAAAGATGCAACATACTGATCACCAGGCAACAAAAATTGGGTCAAAGCGTTATCATACCTGGCTTCCAATGCAATGGTTTCGTGCTGCTTTAAAGTAAAAATTTCCTCTTTGATCTTAGATGCCAAGCATTCGCGAAACACCTGAGACTCTTCGTTTTTAACATATTTCGCCAGTTCTGCAAGGACTATGACTTCCAATTTTGCGAAAGGTCGCTTCCATAGTGGCCGATTCTTTTTAACCACCAGTGCCAGGGCTTTTTCTTGTTTGATTTCACCGTGAAGGGCGGGGAACCATCTATGGATGAAATGTTCTTCGGCAAACTTTCTTAGTGACTCCTCCATGATCTAAAAACAAATCGAAAGTAAATCTATAGTCAGCTTACTCTGTATTAACCATTATCCTGATCAGACCCACAGTGGGTACTTTCATATCAAAATCATCGGGATCTGTGGAACTCTTTCATTAAAATCTTTAAGGGAGACTACTAACTAGTAACTAGTAACTAGCCTCGAAGCCAAGTGTGACTGAATTTGAATATATCAAAAATGGCCTATTAGGTGATATCCCGAGCTCCACCTGACAACAAAAGGACGTTATTTCGAAACATCTACCGTCAGAGCTAGTTTACTGAGCCAAAGTGACTCTAATTTCATAATTTTTCACAGCCATAAACATACCTAATTTACAATAAAATATTGCCACTGATATTGCCAATGAAAACCCTAAAAGAAACCGTAGTATGTGATATGCACCTAAGACGAGACCAGTCCCCGGAAATGATGTTTGTTGGAATGGAACCCTTTCCTCGATGCTCATGATCTCGGGATAAAAGAAATTATGGGATGTATGTCGATAGAGGGCCTAGTTGTCGAGAGGGGGCTGGGGAGGGGAGTGAAAAAGGTTTAGAAGCCAAGTAGTCCGTGCATGAATGCCACTGTTCCGTGATTTCTGCATGATGAGGCAGTAAGGAGCTTTTTTACTCTTCTTGAATGAGATGTGAATTCATACAAGGTTACTTCTTAACCATTCTGTCGGATTAACTTGTCAGTTGCTTGGTACCAGTCATACTTCGGGGTAACGACAGACATTTTGTAAGCATTAAGGGCGGGGGGGGGTCTTACAGAAGGCAAGAACATAATGGCTTGGCAAATGATCAGATCTACAGCTTATGAATCGGATTCCAGGGCCTGATTGGATCGAGGGGATAATAGGGAAGTAAGTCTGCAAATGTCGATGGTCAATTGAAATTTTACAACATTATTCATTTTGAGTTTGGGACGTTTAACAGTAGTCGGTTAGTTCGAGCATACCCTCTGATTGATTAATCAACCATGGTTTCAATTCTTCTACAAAAATTAAGCTTTTCACGGCCAACAAAGAAAACTATAGTATCAATAAGTTTCCAATGTTTTTTTATATCAGTTTTAGTATGGATTAGCCGACAAGGTGTTTTGACGTTCGGTTAATTATGTCATCTCTTCCATCGGCTAAGAATCCTGAAGGGCGACAATTTAAATTTAATGCACATTGAGAATATCTAATTGGAATAGATCGAAATGGAACGTCACCTTTTCCATTTTCTTTAATAAAGGAAACAAAATATCAAAAATAAAAAAATAAAAAAAAAAAAAGATAAGGCCAACAGTGAGCGATTGATCTGGAAGCAGATGAAGTTCAAACCCTCACACTCAAAAAAAGGGTTCGCCTTTAGTTCAAATTAAGACAGTTCTCGAAAAAGAAATTCTTAGTCTTTCGCAACGTACAACCCCTTCCTCTTACTGATCAGAACGGAATATGGAACAGTAATCACATAAAAAGCTACACTGTGTGATATGACGTATCTCAGCAATTAGTTCTCTGTTCATTTGGTAGACCTCTAACTGGCCTTTGGTAATGTCGCCAAACCCTAAGGTTAATTTCATTAGTTGGAATTGGAATGCCAAACTGGTCTAGTTGATAATGTCTAAGAATTTGTTTCGCCACTCTTTCCGTAAACGTTCCAAACAAAAATGGTAAATTAAGAAAATTTAGAAAAATTCTCCCCCCTGAGTGATATGAACTCAACTGAT